ACCGCGTGTCCGGCCCGTGGTCCACCCACCGAAACACCCATTCATCTTTGGGTTGGGAATTTCGGCTGCAAGACCGCATCATGAAAACATCGGAGCTGATTATAATGACATTTTGTACGAATGGTCTCCAGTGAATTTGTCAGGCGGGCGAATCTTAATTTGGTTCGCGTCTGCCCGCTTTAACTCGTGGAGTTTAAAAACAATTTTTATCAGATTGAAAGAAATGTTTATCGCGGTCTTGTGGGGTTGTGACGCCGTGTAATCGGTTTATGGCGTTTCGGAGGAACTTATCGTGTCCATCTTCGGGGTCGGGGTGACTGGATGTGTCGTTGAAATTTTTAAAAACGGTTAGGCAGCGACTGTGTTAATTGGGATGTCTAGGATCACGGATACAAGCGCGATAAATGTAATTATGATTCTGTTGTGGTTTGTAAGAACATTACACTCACAAATAAAATTAATCTAATTGAGGTGGTAGGTCTATAATTAAAATTAACTTTGATTCTTGCCGAAAGTGTTCTGTATAAGGAGTAGGTCTATAATTAAAATTAAGTTTCATTCTTGCCGAAAGTGTTCTGTATAAGGGATGCATCACATAGAAACGTATATAACACTCGTTTTAACGGTCAGCAAGCCCACATTTTGCCCACGCAGAGCATTTATGGGTTACGATTCTCAATAAACAGCGATTATGTCTCCAATCTGTATTGACCGATCAATCGTTGCCATGGAGACGCCTTGTGGTACGAACTGAGTATCAGCTGTTGAATTTTCTTAATTTTTTTTTTCTTCTGTAAATTTTGCTGAGTTAAGACACGTATTGAAGGTGTGGCTGTCCGTTCTCATTTAAGTAAAGATGACAGTTCGGCTGTAAACATCTAGAGGGAGAGTTACGACCTCGCCATTGCGCACTCATTTATTTATTTGGTGCGTAGGACGCTTGGAAATTGTGTCTTCCCATTAGGTCAAGGTCTGTATAGAATATATTCCTCGCGTTGTATTTTATCACCAGTGGCGACTGGTGATTACACTTGCTAATCGAGCTAAGAGGGCGAGCTAATGAATGACGTGTGGCAGGCGTCCATACTTCAGCTGGCACAGATTACGTCAGGTGAAGTTTTTCTTAACCCTTCGGAAGCAGAATAATACGTATTTAAGAACTCGGTCCGTACCGCGAAGAAAACAACTCTTCACCATTACGAAAATCAACTGGTTAACGATGTTTATAGTGAGAATCACAGTTCGTCTGAATAATATTTAAGAACTCAGTCCGTACCGCGAAGAAAACACAACTCTTCACCATTAAAGAGTTCAACTAGTTGACGCTGATTAAGGAAATAATCGCTGTTTATTCTGAGAATCATACGAAGACACGTGATTGTTAAAGCATCGGATGGCCTTCGAAGGGTTACGCTGTTTCCCATAACTTACGGGCTCTGCACCTTTGCAACGAAGTGGTGATTTATTTGAACGTATTTTATTACAAAGAATATTCGTATCAACAGACATGTTTATGCTAAATATCACCATGATCAATTCCTGTATGGGTTTCTGACATGATTTTTATGTTTTCCTCAATACCAGGTAGATACCGAGATTGTTCATTAAATTACACCATCACCGATTCCTTACGTATCCTTTCCTACTTATTATTCATTGTCAACCTGTTATTCAACGCCAAATTGTCAAAGCGTTGTTAAACGAGCCTTATGTAAATAAATGTGAGTGATTTCTCGTCCCGTTATCGACTTCGGAACATATTGCAAAGCGGTGCTGTTTGCGCGATTGAGCGGCCGAAGCTTGTCTCGCTTGCTTACATTGACCACTTCCAGATGTCGCACTGCGTCTTGTGTTGGTGCCGTGGCGTGGGCGATAGGTGAACTAGCTGTTTGTTTTTGTCCTGTTCTTCAACAATATGTGCTTTGGTCTCATGTGGCTGAATTATGAGATTTCAAGACACGAACGCACGAGGCCATCCTCTGCCGTCATGAAACCACAGAGGGAATTGAACCTGGGCACCCACACCACGGTCGAGAACGCCCAAGAATTGTACTTTTTATTTCAACATTCATCTGTTTAGACGGGCCTTGCAAGACACAGACTTTTGTTTATAAAATTGTGGCCCAGTAGTTGTGTTAACAGAATATTGTCCGAGTTACGTGTTTGTCTGCACGCTGTTTTGTCCCACAGAGCTAGAGACCTTGTGATCGGCCGATTTCTCACACAAGGATACCTTCCGTCTGTGTCTGTAAGGATTTAGAAAGTCTTAGTATTAGAGGAGGCCAAGGTTTTAGCAAGAACATAGTTAAATAACTAGTGCGTATGGTTGGTAGCAGTAAAATTCCCGTTTACTGATAAGTAAAAGGTATATCTGTACAGGGCTTGAGTTATTTATCTGTATTTTGATAAATATACACAGCATATAAGAACTTAAACACTGAATAATTGTCTGAAGCCTGCTGTTATCCGAGACAAGTTAAATGTAGGTTAGATTAAGCCTCGAACTTGTTCCGAATACGTGATAATAGGTTTGTGCTTATGGACATACTGGCTGTAATTCGGTTCTAAAGGGTTTTGACGACGGTAGTTTACATCTAAGATTATTCTTTGTCAGGACTTTTTCCATCTTCTGTTCTTTAAAATCACGACGTTTCGGAGGCTGGTTTTGTCTCCGTCTTCAGGTGAGAGGTACGTCGTGATTTAAAAAAAAGTCCTGACAGAATAATTTTAGATACTGGCTGTGTTTAATACTTTAAACCCAACTGGTAACTGTATGTACCACATGATTTAACAAGCTTTGATCTGTGGCGTCAGAGAGTTGATTATCGCAATGACCGTCATGTATGAGCGATTTGTATATAGACGGACGGACGGACGGACGCACGGATTGAGCCCACAGGAACATCGTGGCGCGTCGTGACCCAGGCTACATCTCTCGACCCTTGTCCGAGCTAAAATAAGTTGCTGATCTGCGGTTATTGCAGAACACTTGAGAGATTCTGCCAAACGGAATTAGTCTTCCACTGCAGAATTGTATGGCGAAGGAACTTTCCGTTTCCCTGTCTCTTAAAATGTTTCTTTATCATGTGCCCCTTCAATTTTTGCTCTAAAAATGATCCCAGAACGCTGCAAGATCAGGATACGACGAAGAACAGTATTGCCACATGTTTTGTATGGGTGTCTGACGTCTCTTACTTTGAGGCACGAGCTAAGTTATTCGTGGTGCTTAATTAAGCGACGTAAGCTGCAGGTGTTCCGAAGCAAAGTCCTTGCTGGAACCAGACGACATTTAAGAGGAACTTGATGATTTATTCAGGTCACTCGGTGTGGTTAGTTAGGATGCCGTGATGGGCTGGGCGTGTAGGTAGAAATGCGCACAAATTTTTGGCAGGGAAGGTCATTTACAGACCAAGAAAGAGATGGATCTACGAAAAACAGTGAGGATGAGAGATGGATTTGTTACGTGTGACGTTAATATTTTTATGGTCTGGAAATTTGTTATATGTCGTCAAGAGGAAAGAAACGCAGATGGAAGTCTTTTTCGGATACTGCCCTGTGTAGATGTTGATCGACGTTTCGGCAACAGGTACCGCCTCATTTTTTTTTAGTATTTTCAGCTTCGTGGTTTAAAGAAATCGAGTATTGTGAGTGTCGATGTAAGAATTATGGGTGTTGACCGCCGCGACGCACGGAGCCCGTGGCCTGGACCTGACTGGGCGCTGACCGGACCGCCGTGCTAGCCAGTTATTTATGAGGCGGTGTTTTGTTTGGCGCCGCACAGACAGTCGTCTTCCCAGCTAATTATATTTCGGGCTGTCGGTCGCTTGTGAAACTACGTTTACTTTTTACGCAGTTGATTAATAATATTTTATCTCTCACGAGCGATGTCTATAATGCGATCTGTTAGGTCATGTACGTGGAAAATCATGATCATAATTATTCAATAGCCAAGGAGTTAGGCTACTTACGGCCTCAACCTAACCTAAAAATCTACGAAGATGGCTTGTCTTCTGGGTTGTAGCGCCGTGTAGACCTGTACAAGTTTAGCGCCGTTTCAGAGGTCCTTTCCGCCTCCATCATCAGGTCGAAGAGTAAACTTCTACCAGACTACACGTTGTAACTGACCAGAAGACAGCCATCTTCATATTTATCACCGTGAGAACCTCAAATCTTGCTCAAGAACTCTTTAAAGTCGTCTTTCGTTTCTTAATCTACGTGATTTGTGATTTTTTTTAAAATAGTTATCGAGGCTTTGCTTTTATTCTGTCAGGATGTTGAAACATTTTGATCTTTATGTTCAGTATAGCTTTTATGTTAAATTCTTTTAATGTCTTCAAGAATACCTAGAAATTGACCTTGGGGAAATATGGTGTGATGGTGTGGATTGGATTAATCTGGCTCGTGATAGGGACCGGTGGCGGGCTCTTGTGAACACGGTGGTGAATCTTTGTGTTCCATAAAATGCGAGGATGTACTGTTACCTTCTCAAAGAGTAAGGAAGCTACGTAAATGGTTCAAACTGAGTGCTAATTTTTGTTATTTCTCGTAAACATTCCCGTGGATGTTGTGATTTTTTGCAGTCAACAGTCTGTGGCCTGTACTCCTTATTTTATCGTGTCTTTGCGTCTCTGTAAGAATGCCTAATGAAACAATTTACACACGCTGTGACCAAAATTCCAGGTCATATTTGAATGCATTACATATTTTTTAAAAAAACCCTCTTATTCTTACATTTAGAAGTGTCCTTGTCACGAATAACATTTATATCGATTTAGGGAATTTTTATGGAATGTGGTATGTACGCCTCCACACACATAAATGGCGTCTCGTATCGTTGTCATGGCGACCTTACGTCCATCCACAACTCTGCCTGCCTGAACATACGTTTTCGCAGCTGTCTTGTTTCTGCAGTGGGCTGATATCTTAATTGAGGAGGGGATGATGGAACGTAGCATCTGTCAGTGGTCCAGATACAAACTAGAATTATACTTAGGTTATCCTCTTATCGTGGATCCGGCATAGTCGAGATGCAGAAGGTGTGAGCGGGTCTTTCTTTTCGCGTGTGTACACGTTTGCTTGTTTGCGGTGACGTTAATTGCACAGCTGTGCAGCCTTTTATAAAGTGGGATTGTCTGTGAACAAGTTGTTCGTTTGGTAAATACGAGATTTTGGCTTGTTTCGAGTGTACTTTGCTCTCCGCGCTATCAGTAATTTGTTTGTTTTCGCTGTTAACAGAAGCGTCTGTAAAATTTGTTTTGGTATGTTACTTGCACTTTTAAAAGCTTGGAGGAGGAGAAGACCTCTCCTGTTAAGTGCACTGGCACTGGCACTGGCTGATTGAAAGGAAAATTCGGCAGTGACTACTTACTTCCATCATCGCACATCGTAATTAATTTTTTAAAAGGAAAATTGTTTGTAATATTTAATACATTAAGTTGGCGTTATTAGTGAAAAGCACGTCTTGTAATTCCATTCTTGTTTGTTTGTTTTGAAGTTACGGTTTGTTACGGTAGGTCCTTATTTGTTGTAAAAATTGCCTAAAACTTTGGTTAAGTAGGATTTGACGGCGGTGAATCCGACTATGGCTGTCTTCTAGGTTGTAGAAGTTTACTAACGTTTCGGAGGTCCTTGCTACCTCTATCATCAAGGCGACATGTCCTGATAACACGGCACTACAACCCAGAACACAGCCATCTTTGGATAATAAGTTCTGTTACCGATATGGAAATATTGAAATATTACATTGATAATGTCAAACTTGTCGTCGTCGTCGTTGTTGTTGTTGTTATCATCGTAATCATTCATGTCCGTCATTCGTCTTCTTTCCCTTTTGCAACAAGTAGTTCAAGTACAGTCACTTTCGGATTAGGCTTGTTCATTTAGTCGTGTAAGAGATGGCAGGTGTCCAGAACACTTCACGCCGTGTGATTAACGAGTGTGTTTCGTGCTTATGTTTGAAGGGCATATCAGAGTTGGCATAAGTGTGTAGTGTTCTGTGTTCCCTTGGCGATGTTTCATTTGATGTGTTTCTAGTGTTCGCGCGCACGATTAAGCCGGGAGTGAAAAAAAGAAGAAGAGATTTTGGGTTCGCGGTTTCTGCGTTCTTTTGTTTTTTAGTTGGTTACGCAATTTGAGACTATGTTTGCCGCTGACAAGATGCCCGTGATACAAATGCAGCGTAGAAACTCCCAGTTCCAACGCAAAGTCTCCATTCGTATAGGTAAGTGTTTGTGAATCGACCATTCGTTATGTT